TTTAAGTACATTCCAGCAGAAAAGCAACACATTTTATAAATAGAACACATCCAACCAAAAAGAGAGTGATGTCCTGGCAAGAAATGAAAGCAAGCCTTAGAGTGTGATAGTGACTTACTTGACTCATAACACACATAAATCTCCTTGCCAACAAGAATTCGTGAATATTAAAAATATGTTATTCTGATTAGAAGCTGTATATAACTGAATGCCTATTTTGCTACCATGCTAATGGATGCCTCTTTTGTTTCTGGCTTATTTCAAACTCCTTCACCCTAAAAAAAATTACATGATAGCAGCAGCAACTGAAAGGGGGGGGGAGATGGCGGTTCCAGTTGCACTAGTTTCTGAATAGTCATGTCCACATGTCCATAAGAAACAGGTACATCTGACCTCCCAGTTTACTTGGAAAATATCAAAACCCTTTGAAGTGATAGGAACACCATCAGAGTATAGCACCTAACCTTGATCCCTTGCCTCTTTCCAGGGTCCATAGGCACATAAAAAGCAAGCCCAGGCTCTCAAGATGACACAACTGAAAGAAACACTACCTACCCCATCCCACTGAGTTCTGAACTATTGACTCATTAAGCATGTTTTCTTTTTTCCAATCACTTAATTTAGGAAAGCACAAAGAAGGCGTTTAAATGGTTTTTCAAATCATCTGCTGTCCAAACAGACCTTCCTTAACAAGAATCATCATACTAAATATTTCAAGAGAGACTGGTTTCTCTCTAAACAAAGCTTGCTGACAGAGTGTTTGTGTTTGCTTTCTACAGGATTTGCTACAGCTCTCCAGGTTTCTCCACTCTGGACAAATTCAATGTTGTTACACAGCATGATTACTGTGTATTCTGTACACAACCCTAGAGCTGTGTCTTCAGACAGGGAAATAGCCTGACCACGGTGAGCCAATCAGAAATTCTGAAATTTTCCAAACAGACTTTAAAATTGTCTTTTACTAAGGTTTCTTTCTTCTGAATCTTAATGAATAATATTCCTTCCTCCTTATATAAAAATGAAATTCAAATACATCATTATTAGTATCTTCAACTTGTCTTTGCAATCTATCTACGTGAGATTTGAAATCAAGAGGCTGAGAGTTCAGGGTCATGAATGAAGCTTAAAAAAAACAAAAGGCCAAGAGAATTGAAAAGTCTTAATAAAAGCCTTTCCAAGATCCTCATAGAGGTTGCATTTCATACTTCTTCTTGAATAGTTTAATAAAACTAATATTCACTGGACCAGGGGCCAGTGAGCTATAGGACTATAAGCTTTCACTTAAAAGGTAATAATAAAAACACAGTACAAGTCATTAATGCAGACTTGGGTGTTCTGTGACCTCTAGTCCATCACTTGTGCAAGTTTGGTGTTGCAGTGGGAAAGTAATCAAAAAATAAGCAGAGCTTAGTTAGGGAATATTAAACAAAACATTAAAGTTTTTTACCTATAAGAAATTATTTTTTGCTAAGTGATACTGCCATTCACCTAATCAAATACAATTAAAACAGATGTTTACAGAAATCAAAAGTTGTAAATTATTTTGTTCTTAAATCATTCCTCAAACTTTTTCTAACACATTCTTGCCAATCTTTAAAAACTGCCTTATAAATATATTAAAAATGTCCCTAAAGAGTCTAAAACATCTTATCCCTTTACAAAATAAAATGTCACATTTTTAACCTTAAAGTTTGTGAAAACCATCTTTTAAAATGTCAAGGCATTTCCATATTTCTTAAAAGATTTACCATTAAGCCATAGTTCTCCAAAAAATAAAAAAATTACCAGGGAGTGGACAGTGTATCTGTTAGAGCACAAAGAACAATGGGGACTGCTCATATTGCACCCTCATACCAGTCCTCACCTATTCCCACCACTAGTGAAGCCAAGCAGGTACACTAAATCACATCCTTTTTCTCCTTCCATCTCCTCAACAGTGACTCTCTTCCAACATGGTAGAACAGCCTGATTCTAGTCATAATCTGGGTGTCCCAATTCCCAATCCACATTTCTAGTCTTGATGTTTTTTTTTCCTGAAAACGCATCTGAAACAAGCATACCACAGCTCCAAACCCCAATCCTGTTCCTTGCTCTATGCTCCTGGGCTTTGTAAAGGTATCATCATCCCCTCAACCACAGAGACCTCTGAGGCAATCAGTTAAGATTTCAATGGAACAAATTACCTCCCTCAGCCTGTTTACTCTTCTGTAAAAACCAACAATGAAAATACTTAATTTAGATGGTTATTAGGGAATTAAATGAGATAATGATAGGTAGGCACTTCATCATTCCATATTTCCCTTCCTCACTCTCTATACGTAATCACTGGCCAAGGCCTATCAACTCTGCCAACTAAATGTCTCTCAAATCTTTCCCCTATTTTCTATTGCTACCATCATTATCCTGGTCTAGACATTCAGCATTTCTAGGCTGAACAACTGCAAAACTCTTGGACTAGTTGCCTTGCTCCCTTTCCTCTCCAACCTGCTGGCCTATTATAGCTCCATGAGATAGGGCTATGATGGTTCTTATTCCTTTTGTCCATTTTTCAAAAACCCAGCAGAGTGCCTGGCACAGAGTAGGCATTCAATAACATTTCTGGGCAATGCCACTGGCTCCAAATTCATCATCCCCAGCACCAGACACAGTGCTCTAAGAAAAATCTCAATCTGATGAGCACTGAAGGAAGTCCTTTGCACACTGAATGAAGTTGCATGATGACCTTGTTCTCAGAGGCCTACTGCCTTCAAATTCCTGTTTCTCTCCTTTGAACTCATTGTAGTATATCAATACAGAGCCATCAGGCTTAGAGAAGTAGTTTAGTAAGCAAAAATTTTATTCAACATAGGCGGAAATAATAAGATGTGTTAAATAATGATAAGTTGGTCATAAGTAGAGAATGTGCATGTTAAACATAGAAAGGGATGGAAAGACCAAGAGATAACTAATTTTCAGCAAGTATTAAATATACATGAGGCACCTGGGCTCTAAATATTCATGATATACTAAATATACAAGAGGCACTAAATATTCATGAGTACTCAATATTCATGAGGCCTTAATTTGGTCGCTCATTCATTGTTGACATCCATTCTGGCCCCATGTGTCCTCTGCCCAAGAAACACAAACAAAACCCAAGACAATTCAGCAGGCTCACCGGCGAGCTATAGCCGTGGCCAGGTGCACTTGTCCCTGCATCTCTCCAATAGAGCAAGTGTGTGCCCTTAACTCGAGGCCCCTTCTGTCTGTGATTTTCCTTACCTGAACCTCAATTCTGGTCTCCCAACTATACTATTAGCAGGGAAGGTTGGTGAAACAGAGAGAGACAGGATCATTGCCAATTCTGGGATTCAGGCAGTATAGTATCATCCTTCCACCCACTTGTACACTGTGTGAACTTATTCCACCTCTTTCCTTCTTGCTTCTTGCTATGTGTTTTAAATTATTTTAATGCATTGTGTGATTCATGCATTTTTAATTTGGTCCATGGGCCTTCTGTTCTGTGGCCTGTGGGAGAGCTTGCATGCATATTTCTTGGAGGCCACCAATGCATCAAAGTATTAATAATATGCCACACAACACTCTGGCAGCCACATAGAGAACTGATTGTAGGAGGAGCAGGAATGGAAGCAAGGAGACCATGTTAGGCAGCTATTCCATTCCTCTAGTCAAGAGATGAGCACAGCTTAGGTGAGGATGGTAGTAAAGGAGATGGAAAGACATGGAAATATTCAGGATATGTTTTCCTAGGAAAATGAAGAACAGGGATGGTAGGTATTAGCAAATGGGGAAAGGAAAAGGAGTAGAAATTGTAGTCAAAGAAGGCAATTTCAGAGACTGAGATATTGTAGGTGGCAATATTTCAAAAGACAAAGAAACAACAATGTACTAAAAATCATGGCTCCTTAGGGAAACATAGGACCCTGAAAGGTCATTTACACCAACCACCAAACAAACACTGGACTCTCCTCCTATACCTCTACCATGCTATCAGTGAAAAACAACCCCTGACCTGCCCCCAGGGCCATCTAGCTATACCAGTGAACAAACAAATATATTTTCTTCTCCTCCACCCCCACAGCAGACCCCTACTCCTAACCCCATCCAGGTCCATTCACTATAATTTCTGGCAGCTCTCTAGAGGATACAGAAAATAAGGTCAACCCTCCTAAACATGATAGCCCCTTAGATTCCTGAAGAAATTTATCACACACACTTGAGTCTTCCCATTACAAACAAATATCCCTTTTCTTTATCCTGACTTGCACATGACGCATTTTTGGTCCTTTTACCATCATGGTTGCTATTCCCTGAAGGTGTCCAGAACTCAGCATCATCCCAAGACAAGGACTTACAGTACAAACAGAAGAAATTAGTCACCTCCCTTGATCTCTGCCATACTCTAATAATGCGACCTAGGATTAGCCCCCCTGGTGGCCACATCACAGAGTTAACTCTTATCTGTTGCTGAAATGGAGTATGGATAAAGATGACTGGCATCCCTGGGATGAAGGAACAATGATTCTGTGTTGAGGCACCACTGAAGTCTGTAGTTAACAGATATGAGGATGAGGAAAGGGTGGTTGAAACAAATAGCAGTAAATTCAAGAAAAAAGAGAGAACACCAATCTGGAAATGGCAGTGGAGAACACCTTTCCCTTCTCCCCTGAGGGTGTCATGAGGAAGTGATATGCTCACCAAAAAGAGATCAAAGGATTTGAGGAAAAAGTCAAAGACACAGGAGAGTTTGCTCATACCAGAGCAAACTCCAAAGGATACAAGTGTGCCAGAGAGGAATGAGAGAACCAGCCAATGGTGCAGGGTAGAAAGTTTATAAGTCCCCAACAATGACTAACCACTACCAGCATGTTTATATTCACCATTGTGAACAAGTTAGACAACTAAGCATTAGCATGGGGTCTTTTAAGAAGCTAAAGAAAGACAGGATATAAAGGCAGGAGTTAAAAGTGAAAGAACCATAACTCTATTTAAATAGATACCTTGAGGCAGTCCACTATTTTTCAACTCTGGTTCATTTACTTGAATTGTGTCATCTTCAAGGTAAAAGTAGATTTTATAGCGTCTTATTCTGTAGTTTTCTTGGCTTTTATCAGGTACTTCATCTTCTAAGTAGGCATCAAAAGACAAAACCTGTTGGAACCATAATTAGAAACTAAGAAACAAAAAAAAAATCAGCAAACTTAAAATCAATAAAGCCACTACCTGTATACTTTTTGTTAATGTAAAGAAAAAAGTTGAGGGGATTTTTCCAAGAAGACATTCTACACATTACCTCTGTGAATGAACATACAATCTAGGATACAGCACATAAAGATTATTTTACACTTTCATCACCATTTGCTTAGAACCCAGAAATAATATTCAAGCAATATAACCACCACTCAGCTCTACCATAAACTGAACTAGAGTTTGCCTTTGGGATTTCACAGTGGGATTCTAAATGTATGTGTTATTGAGACAAAATATTCTTTCTAACAAGATGAATATAAGTTTTCTCAATTTTTTCCCATTAACAAAATCACAAGACTACCTCAGTTCTGGGATAAAATTATCCTGACTCTTAGTCCTGCCAATTGCTTGCCCTGAGGCAATTCCAACAGGCAGATCTGAAATTCTTCCAATGTACTAGAGACCCCACCTTACACTTTTTCAGGAACCTCAAAGAACCTAGCTCAATGCTAGACTCTGATTCATCTTACATTGTATGTTTGTGGTGGTAGATGGGGAGGGATGGGTAGGACAGATGGATTCTAAGGCAGTTATGGTAAAAATCAGAGGTCTTCAAAAATATCCTTAAAAATTCCTTAACCACTTTGGATAACTGTGCTTCTCAGTAACTAAAACACAGCCTGCTTTTCTCCCATGCTAAAGCAGATGACTGTCTGCCTGCCTCTTCAGTCGAAGACTAGTAAAAATAGTTTTTGTTTTTTAGAGACAGGGTCTCACTCTGTTGCCAAGGCTGGAGCATAGTGGCATCATCATAGCTCACTGCACCCTCGAACTCCTAGGCTCAAGTGATCCTTATGCCTCAGTCTCCCAAGTAGCTGGGACTACAGGCTCATATCACCAGTCCTGGCTGATTTTTATTTTAATTTTTTTGTAGAAACGGGTTCTCACTATGTTACTTGGGCTGGTCTCCAACTCGTTGCCTCAGACTCCCAAAGTGCAGGGATTATAGGCATCAGCCACCACACCTGGCTTAAAATAGTTTTTTATGCTTAGGTGTCACATTGTATGAATAATATATATCTATATGAATAATATATATCTTTGGAATCACCATTGGAATCATTCTCAACATGGTGTCCTGCTCACACACTGAGGAGGACATGGTAATTGAGAACAATTGTGGGAACAGTAGATTTAGGCTATCATTTCAATCTTGATCTGGGGCACAGCCTCCTTGAGAGCTCCATTGAAATATTCCCTTTGTCTCTCACTTGTGATCAATTTTTATCATTGAAGTTGCAAAAGTTAATTGTGCATGTCATGTAACTCCAGGATTATTCAATATGGATATGATATATATTAGTGAGTCTGTTAGATGCAATCTACCCTGTAAGGGGTGGTCGGTTACTCTAATTAAGAATATACACTCCAAGAGTGTTTAGCAAATTTCTATCAGAAGCCCACACTTCAGAAGAAGCTAACAAAATACTTCAATAGTCTTTTTCTCTGATCAACAAAAGAAGTTCTGTTACCATAAATGATGTTAGAAATGAGTTTTGGTTAGTGAAATGATTATATTCAAAATCCACAGATCAGTTACAAATATTGATCAGGCACTGTCCTTATAGGAACAGGTTCTTAGGATCTGGTGATCTCTGGAATCTATACCCTTCAAAATGGCACTTTTGGCTTCATTCCAAAATGGTCCTATGTTCAGCTGCTTTCTTGGGGAATTTGGCCTAATTCCAAAGAGAAGGTTAGCAAAACCCCACTACTGGAATGCTGTCACATTTGTATTTAGTGAAAACTTCAGGTAAGATGCTGTTGAATGGGTACAGGGTTTCCTTCTGAGGATGAAAATGTTTGGAACTAGATAGAGGTGACGATTGCACGACATTGTGAATATGCTAAATGTAATGGAATTGCACACTTTAAAACAGCTAATGGTTAATTTTGCTATGTGAATTTTACCTCAGTTAAAAAAAGATGTTGGACACTGAATTGTGTTGGACACTTTAAAATGGTGAGATTTCAGACAAGATGGCTGACTAGAGATATCGCTTGCCAGACCGTCCAGGAGGGAAGGTAGTGTTTCAGATAAAGGAGAGAGGAGAAGAAATGCAACTCAGCTGTAGATCATCGAGAGAAGTGCTGGAGCCTACCAGGGACCTTATGGAGGAAAACTGCAGAGCAGAGAAGGAAGAAAATAAAGGAGAAGAGACATTGGCAAGGATCAAACCCAGAGAGGCTAGGAGCCCAGTGAAGGGTTAAGAGGGATCCCTTTTCTCTCTCCCACACCGCTTAGTTGACCAGCAGGCTACCAAGTTTCTTGGAAGCTTTTCCACCACCATGAGCCCAAGCACAGCAGCAAACATGAAATAGTGGGGAAAACTTATGTGATCCCAGAGCTTGGGCATTCTGTGCAGGATTCTCTTGAAGGAGAGTGACCCAAGAGGCCAGAGAACTGGCTTTCTTCCATTCAGACACTTATTCCTCCCCACCTCTCCCACACCCACTGCAACCAGTAGAGCAGTTTGAGCCAAGAATTTAGCAAGCATCTGCCTCTCCCTAGCTGGCATGTCCTGCAGTCTGAAGTCTCTAGAGAGACTGGGGCCTATACCTTTCCCCTTGAGGACCTGCAGGGAACCATTGTCCTAAGTAAAGTACCTCAAGGATGGAAAACAAACACCACATTTACTCACTATTAAATTGGAACTAACTGATGAGCACATACATGCACAAAGGGAAGCAAAACTTAGTGAAAAGCAACCAAGGAAGGGGGTGGAAGGGGAGGGGGATAAACCAACCTAATGGGTACTATGAACACTATTTGGGCAATGGACACACCTATAGCCTGGACTCAAGCATTCCAAAAACAATCCATGTAACTTAAAACATTTGTACCCCCCCCTAATATTTTGACATTTAAATAAAAGGTGAGTTTTATGTTACGTGAATTATATCTCAATATTTAAAAATAAAGAGGGAAAATGTTGGAACACCTAAAAGGACAGAGAGCCAGGGTTTCATTGAGCTTTTAGCATAGGTAGTATTCAATCTGTGATTTTGTTTTTCTTTGCAATCAGGAAAGTGTGGAGAGAATATTCTTAACACTCACCTGCCTCTATGTAGTGAATGCTACTGGTATGAATTTGAATGACCAAACTGGCATAGGTCAGTTGACAACAACTGTCATGTATGTAATCATTAAATATTTATCAATCAAATGATGCATTAAAAGAGAAGAAAGGATACTAAGTGGAAATAAAGAGAAAAGGAATGATCTTATTTTAGGCTTATATGACTAGAAGAAGGCCAGACTTATTTCATGTTCTGGTCCCATGAGTATACACAGCTGCCTAACTCCAGCATGAAAGATAAAGGGCAAGTCAGAGAGTGGTAGAGATGGAAAGACAGAACAGGAGGAGCAAGAGGAAATTGTAAAATGTGGAAAAGTATAATGTAAGAGAAAAGACACCAAATAGATTAAAAATAATCTCACAAAGTTAAATGACCTAATTGCAATAGAACTTGAAGTATCAGAGAATCCTGAAAAAAGAATCTAAAATAAGAACTATTAGAAATGAAAATTTATAGAAACATAATTATGATACAAGGTTTTATCACAATTTATAAGTCAAGCACAAAATAGATACATAAGATCCTAGAAGATGTAATTGGCTGCAATTTTCTTGAAAACGGAATGTAAATGTTGTTGGGAGTGGAGCATGTGATCTTCAGTTCCCCATAGACCTTTGCAGGCCCTACAGTAGCATACAAGGATACCTGCCTGATCCCCGAAGCATCTGGAGTTTTGATACTAGCCTAAAGGATATAAAACCTGAAATCAATTAACTATAAATAACAGGTATATGATTTCTTCATTGTAAGCGAAAAATTTTAAATGTTTATTTCTGAATTCAGGATCTTCTTACAATTAAAGCCAAAAAACCCACAAAGGTATACAAAAGGCATTTTAATGGGTAAGTAGCTGTAACTTGATGTATGGTGCAAATTTAGCTTTGTAGGGAAGGAGTTAATCCTTTTTTCATGTCCTCCCAAATAGCCAGATTTTAACATTAATTTGGATTTCTAATTTTCACTTAAAATGTTTTCAAAATGATTATTGTCTGATGCAATATGACACAAAAAATAATTGTGTGGAGAAGGTTGTGCATCGCAGGCTAGGCAATGCAATTGTAAGGCAAAAGCAAAAGCCTAATATCTCAGAACAAATCACATCATTTTTAAAGATGGGGAAGTTGATGTGACCAATGCATGAGTCATAAAGACTACTATTCAGGAACCAAACATCTGTCAAAAACTCACAGCTGAATTTCTAGAGAAAGAAATATGAAATACCAGTAATGTTCAATAAGGCTCAACATTTTATAAATAGGTCAACATAAGTCCATGTTTAAAATGCTTAGGCTCTATTTTATGAAAAATACTCAGACTTACACTAAGGTATATAATGGTAACGTATATAATGGTATATAATTGTAAGGCATATAGTGGTAGGGATAAATGCATGCTCTTATAGGCTAGTTAGCAGACAATAAAAATCTGTGTACATTTAATGCAGTGCTGTTTATTCTTCCTGAAAAGGCTGTTATTAAATCGATGGTTTATCCTCATGATGATGAAGTCTTAGAATCAAGGAAATAAGTTATAATAAAATTTGTGTTGCATATAGAGGATAGCTCCTTTATACATAGCAATGGCATATTTATAGAAATTTATCATATGCTAATTTGCAAAAATTCTAATAAATTTAAAAAACAAATTATACAAGTTATGGTCATTGATCACAAAGTAATACAACTAGAAATAAAATAAAAATTGTCACTCCCAATAATAATTGCACCAAAAATAAACTTAAACATACAAAAAATAAATATAGACTATAATAAAATTTAAAGCCATACAAACCTATATGATACAGGTGAATTTGTAATCTG